GCGACTAAGAGTGGACGGTTTTGGGTCACAACCCTGTATTTGCGGATCCCTGTATAAAAGATATACCGATAATTCAGAATATCCAAATTTGCTATGTAGTGCTAGTCAGCTCGGTGAAGAATGCACACAATAGAATATTAAAAAATAAAACAAGAATACAACGCCGGACACTGGGTGACCCCTAAAATATTTAGAGCAACCCAACTTGGGGTCACGACCCACAATTTGGTGACCACTGTCCTATAGCTTTTCCTATCAATAACAAAAACATTTATTTAATGTTTGTTTCCTGCCTTTCACTTTAAAATAGGCTCTGTATAAGCTTCCACTGATGTACAATATTTGGAGTCTGAAATCTTTCCTATTCAAAAGTGTGAATGGTTTAAACACTACATTTTAACCTGCAATGCCAACATAGGTAAGGCTTATGTAGAGCTTTTTAGCCACATGGCCCAAAAGAGTTTATAAGAAGTCAAATATATATCAAATTTTTATTGAGGCCTGGGAAATTTCAATTTTTAATCTGAATCATAATAATAATGAATTTTGACAATAAAATTTGCGTACAAAATGAATTTGTTGCAATTATGATGATTCGAAATAAATAAATTAAAACCAATTATGCACTTTCAAACATTTATTGGTGTATTAGGTTTACATCTATACTCTAGGTCTTTTGCAAGCAATCACTAATAGGTGGAAATGAATATTTACACATAAATATTGCATTTTCAATAAATTATAAAAATTGCAATTCTTGAGTATTTCAACACAAACATTTGGGATAAACTCTGGGTTACTTTCAAAATAATATATTGTTATTGCGCCACTATTAATCATTTGATTTATTTTGTTATTTGTGCTTATATCGGGTTGGGATAATAAGATAAACGGAGAAAGGTGGGACAATAACTGAATCCAACTCATAAAAACCAGGAAAGAAAGCATATAAAAAAAATTATTGGCAAGCCTAATTTCTGCTAATTGATGCGACTCATCATGCTAAGCGTTAGAATACTCTCGCCGCCGCACCACTGATTTTACCTTGCGTGGGTTGGCAGGTTTGAATCCTGTGATGGATAATTATGTACAAGATGATTGTTGGACTCCTCCCCACCGTAGGGTGGTTCACGTAACCACTGGTCAGTTGCAACTCCCTTAACTATGAAGTACAGGCATCCGAAATCAAATAACTTGCTAACTAATCCCATACCCGACAGGACAGGTTTTCCATATGATTAAGTGGTGTTATTATTAACTTTCCTCTTCCTCAGGATATTTAAATTCTCTTCTATCCTATCCTAATAATAATCTTCTTTTTACAATAAAATAAGTTGTTGTATATCAACAACCTCAAATTAATAGTAAATTTAAGCTACATCTCCAACTTTAAGAATTCCAAAGTTTCGCCTGTTTTTTCAATACTTTGCCTTCATGATGTGTAAAATTATTTAGGCCGGAAGTTACACCTAAGTCACCATGGATACCGAAAAGAATATTGCTCATCGTTGCCGCATCGTGGCTGCTATTTAAGTTCCCACAAAATATCATATTAGATGAAAGAAAGGGTGATTACAATTGGTTTGATAATTTACAAAATCATTGCATAAAATTATTTGATGTACAAGTCCTAGTTGAGTTGAAATTAAATGTCTTGATCTTCAGATGTCAATCATTCAAAGACCACGTTGATGAATTTTGTTGTTCTATACTGTCACCTAGTGTGAACTTTTCTAATATTCGCCCAGGTCAGTCATGATTATTAGGACAAGAGAGCAATGCTCAAATATATGGACACGTTAACCATAACTTTGACGCTACCGGTACCCTCAAAAAATTTCCGAGTTTTGCGTAGCAAGGATTTACAGAATCAAACCGGACAGCCAGTGTTCCCATTGATGAAATAATACAGCAAAATTTTGGATGATATATTAGATTTCATACGAAATTTAGGAATAAATAAAAGTAATAGGTCTTCAACCACTATAAATTTCAAAGCAATTGGTCCAGTATTCATAAAGAAAAGCGATCTTTTAATGATGACGAATAACAAGAACAACAACATAATATTAAAACGATCGTTATGTCCACTAACTTGTCAAATAGGTAGCTGAGATTTCACATACAGTAAGAAACGTGTTTCATCAAATAACTCTCTTGGAAGAAAAGAGTCATATGTCTGAACGGATTCGAAAACTCTTCTGATAAACAAAAAGCTATAAAAAGACATGTTAGGTCGGCATTGATGATCAGAGACAGGAGTGTAGCCAGGAATTTTCGAAGGGGGATTCTGAACTTTGTAATTGCCAAGTTAGACCATAACAGCTAGCAGAACCGGCTCAGGGTCTAAAAAGCGTTCTAAGCTATGAAAAATTTCTATGTGTGATACGAAAAATTTGTTTTATTTACATTTTAGAAGAGGGGTCTGACCCTGATCTGATCTTCAAACTCAATATTTCAAACTTGCAATGTCAACATCGACAAGTCCGACAATCTGAGTACCAGGGCATCACAATTTTTTTTTATCATTCTTGATTGTTCAAAATGTCTTCACCCCTTCCATTTCAAAGAAAAAACACAATCCTGCAAAATATTGTTGATATTTGTCCAATTTACTTTCAAAAATTTCAAAACACACAAAAACAGCTTAAAGTTTAAGTATAGAGAGAGAACGGCGGGTCTGAATTCAGCAGTATAAAAGTTTAGATCTAAATGCTTTCAAATTACAGAATTCTACCCTGCTTGTCAGGATGTGATTATTCTGCCCAGTCATGCTTTAGTGATCATAAACGGGAGAGCTTTTTGAGATTGAATAGTTTAATCCAGGGGTGGGAAACCTTTAATACAAGAGGGCCAGATACAAATAACTTGGTGAAACCGCGGGACGCACCTTTTTAACATAGGCTTTCTAGTAGTCGCAGGCACAAAAAGTTTGGCTATTGATCTTATGGCATGTGTAGTTCGCTTCTGTGATGTCATAAGCATAAATAATAAATTGAACTCGGGTATAAACTATGCGATGCAGAGAGATTGGAATAACTAGCACGAACCAGATTGAACTAATAAAAACTCGTTTTACAGGCCGTACACCTTTCAAAATTGTCACTTCTGCGCGAACCACACAATTTTTTCTTATGGGCCGCAGTTTGACATGCTTTTATTAACAATATTGGAGTCCGGCAGAGTTGAGTTTGAATTGCTCTTATTGATATTGAAAAGCTGTATTCAAAGACTAAAGCAACGGTTCCCAACCGGGGATATTTAAAACTATAAATACCACTGGAATGATAAACAGGGGGCCAATGAGTCCTTAAAGCCTCAGGAAGGGAGCTGTTGAAGGTTGGGAACTACCGGACTAAAAACTAGAGACTACTAGAGTAGAGTCCGGAGTCAAAAATTCAAATCTAAGCGCTCCGGAAATATTTGCACAAAGATGGCGCACAACCTGAACTCTGACCTGGTACCTATACACCTTGGTGCACATACTTCGGGAGCACCCTAATCTATGGCATTATTTTCACTATCCATTGGAATATTCAGAGTAAAAAATACTTTCGGACACTAAGAATTAAAAATCAGCCAAGAACGCTGTGATTTACATCCAGTAAAGAAAAAAGCTGGCATTACACAATTAATTCGGGCTTGGGTGCTCTTAAAATATTCGTACCAAGATGGCGCACAACCTGAGCAAAGTATGTGTACCAGGTTAAGGTTGTTCAGATTGTGCGTCATCTTGGTGTGAATATTTCCCGAGCGCCTGGGCTTGTATATAAAGAGCAAAACTTGAACACATTCTGAGATTCTGGTAATGTAAATGTCATGCTCCTAAAAAATATGATAATTAGCAAAATACACCACCCTGCGAAAAAAAAATACACTCGAATAAATACTTGAATAATCATTCATAACTCATACAAAAATATCGTTTCACCAAAAATTCGAACACAAAATCAGAGTTGTAGAGATTGGACACAGAGTCTTAGTTCTTTGTGGTCAAAATTTGGAATTCTTTCATTAATTATAGTTTCGGACTTCTAATGGTGATAACTATAATTTCGACAAAAACTCAAAAATTAGGTCAAAGAAGTTTTCTTTACAGACAATTGCTATGTTTAAATCAGTAATATGCCTTTTTTACATTTAAAAAAAGGAAGGAGCAACCCTCAAAACCCCCTGCTGGCTATGCCCCTGTATATAGGCTACAGTTCTCATTATCAAATTTGGTTTCCAAAGTTCAGTCCGGGAATCATAATTAAAACATCAAAAAATATTCAATTCCTAACAGTCTATCAGAGAAAATCACAAATATAATATATATGGAGGGAACACCACATTCTTCTGAGTTGATTGTCAAAAAGAATTGTGTCTGTGTCTTATATTATCTTGACCAGATTTGTTGATTTTTAATCAGTAATTGTTAAAGTGTTTTTACCTTCATTTAATACGTCTGTGAGGGTCAAAACAATGAACTAAGAATTTTTTTTATTATATTTTACATCTATGCTGTATTCTTGTTAATGTAAATATGAATATAAAACAATTATTATTTTTTTTTTTGGGGGGGACGGGGGGTTATTATCAAAAATATTTGTGACTATGTGGTGTTCCCGAAAAACAAATACAAAGTGGTTGATATGTTGAATATACAGAAAATGAAAAAGCGAGGAGCACAACATAGGAGTTTATCTTGGAAAAAGAGGGGAGGGGGAGAAAAAACTGGGACCCCAACAGATAGCACCCACTAGAGCGGTTTTCCTTCCTGGCTGGGACATTGAAATGGTGGGGGGACAGGGGGTGTGAGAAAAAATGTCATAATCTCTCTGGGTCCTGTGTCGTGACCTCACCACAGGCAAATGCGCCCAAATTCTTAAAAAACTTGAAAAACATGTCTGGATATATATGCTGTATACAGCTCTCACCTGAGTGAGACAACGAAAAATAAAGAGGGGGGAGAGGGGGCAGAAAAAAAGTTCAGAGTCACTTCAGAGCCTACAGTGATACCTAGCCACTGCCGGTTTGTTCAAAATTGACAAAATATTTATGCAAGTATGCTGAATCGTGATTTATATAAAATTTTACTCAAATTCAAATTTATCTGAAAAATTCCCCCATCCCTCAGAATTTTTTTTTCTTGGTTTCCAAATCTGTTTTACACTAAGATGAAAACACAATCAGTAAATATTACAGAAAAAATAGAACACGCTTTTTCACACAAAAGTAAAAGTAAAATCAAAATAAAATCCCCTACTTTTTTACCCCCAGTGCTCCCCCCTTTATTTTATAAAACACAATGCATTAAAACCTAATAATAATTCCTAATTTTTTTTCTCAAATTATTTTTTCTTTGCATATTCGCAGAGGTCCTTCACATCCATCATTGCTTTTTCGATGTTATCAGCAAATCGAGATGAGTTCTGATAAGATAAGATAAAGAGATAACATAAGAATGTAAATTAATTCAAATGAGTGTAACCAGAGTCAGCGCCAGGTTAGAGTTAGGCCATAATTTTATCTTGATTTACCTTATTTCAGTTCTATTACGAGTTTGGGTACTGTCTGTGTTAGCCAAGTAAATACACCCCCTTCCCATAGGTTTCAGTCTCATCACACAACTTGATGTAAAGTAGGCAAAATTAGTTGCCGCCATATTGGTACACACACAGCCAAGTTGATAATAAATTAATGATCAGGTGGTTAACGCACCTTTATTGAACATAGGTTTTCTAGTAGCAGTCATGAAAAATTTAGTTGTTGATCTCATGACAAGCGTTGTATGCTTCGCACAAGCTAACTGTTAGGGCATTGTAATGTCAAAGACATAGATAATAAATTAGACTCAAATACAGGCTTTACAACGCATAGTGATTGGAATCACTGGCACATACTAAATCAAAAATTCGTTACGGGGGCCGCACAATATTCAAAATTGGAACTTCTCCGCAGCCCACAATATTTTTCTTTGTGGGCTGATTTTGGCCCGCTGGGCGCAGGTGGCACAGCACAGCCCTGTCTCACAGGTTGGTGCCCTTCATAAAATACTTGTTACTTACGAAGCAGCAGTTGCAAATGCAGGTCATCTCAAAACTATTATAAAAAGAATACTCACGGTCTCGTGAGAGGAGACTTTGCTCGAGATGTGAAACATCATGGTGTTTTCGTGGCAGATAATGTAGGAGATACCGTAGCCATCGTCAGCAACCTGACAAAAACGTGGAGAAATTTTTAGTAACAGGTCACAGTACATAGGCTGTGAAGTCGGGAAATTTTGACCCAATTGTGACCCCAAAGTCTGTTCCATTTGAAATATGACTTTGAACTGTACGAGAAAACCGAATTTTATTAATTTTGGCTTTGAGTATGTTTGTTGAGAGCATGAGTAACAATATTCTAAACGAGGCTCACATAATGTGAGTGAACATCTTCCATTGTAATAGATTTACTCTTTTACGTTCATTTTTCATTATCGAAACCAAGTACTTCCATAGAAGAGCTGGCAGGCCACAAGCATTGAAAGTCTTTAAGGGGGCCACAGATTATAAAACTTGAAATAACAGCATTGAGTCCTGTTTATTATAATTACATTATTCTGACTAGTCACACTCTAATGAGCACAGCTTGGTTTAGTCAAACAATAAACTTACAGTTTGTTCTGGATCTTCCATGGCCCGAACGAAAGCGCAGGATTCAGTCATGCATGAACGAACAGTCTCAGTCCTCCCTTCTCGGAACAATCTCGACATCGAGTCTTCATAAGTTAAACTGAAATGACCTTTGTCCTGTCATAAAATGATTTTTATTTTAAGGGAAGTAATATGAGAAAGCAGTCTGTATGGCAACTTATGTATGATACAGAGAAATGCTTTGTTCTACATTTCAAAAAAGAGGGTTGCGACTCTCAAACCCCCCTCCCTGACCGCACCCTTGCTTCAAAACCATTACATAGCACCTTATACAGGGTGCAATAAGTTGTGCAGGCGATCTGTTTTATGCTAATGTTATGAATATATTTCATTCCTTTTAGTGCGGTTGGCATGTTACGTCTATGTCTCTTGGGCCACATTTCCCAACCAGTGCCCTCATGAGGGCCAAAGAGCGGTTGGAGGGAGGGCACAATACCAAGCGCAAAACTGAGTTTACGTTGGGAATCACAGGTCTTAGGCAAAAATCCCCAATACGACTCATTAGTCATCCGAGTCCACAGTCAAGTCAGAATTAGCAAGTTAGTGGCGAGTCATCGATGAATGGATACTCAAGTCAATGACCAAAGCCAAGGATGTAGCCAGGAATTTTGAAAGCGGGTTTCTGAAATTTCTAATTGCCAAGATAGACCGTAACAGCTAGCGGCTCTGGCCGGCCTTAAGACACGGGTTTCTATGAGTTTATATGACAACTTGTGTTTTAATAAAGGGCGCATACATGGGTAAAAATTCATAGTTTTTTTACTCTTGTTACTGTGTTGAATCTTTTGCCCGGCGCCTTTATTACTGTAAGGCTAAGCGACAGCCGCTTTCTTTATCAAACGGATGACAAGAAACTATGTAAGAACTCAAAATTTCAAGTGCCCCAATAAAATGTTAAATAAATGATATTTTTCATTTCTCTTACCCTGAAATGTGCAAGTTGAAGAGACAATTGGATAAAAGCATAAGGAGACATTCGGAAAGTTTTGATCAATCCTTTTCCGAATTCACGAAATGGGAACACGTGGAGGTCTACGTCATCAGATAAAAGCTTTGCAATCTTTAGACTTGTTTAAATGACGTCGATGCACTGTATAAAGGAAAATTAATTGTTAGGATACTGATTCAACTCTGTATAAAATCAGCGCTCCCAAGCAAAAAATGCTAATATATAGCACAGCAGTTCCCAACTGGAGGCCACAGAGCAGTTTCAGGGGGCCACAATGCTATGTGCAAAAATGATTACATAAAAAAAATGTTCTTTTTCTAGTTTCATTGCTTGATAAGGATATTCCACAGGGTGTTTTCACTTTGTTGAGCATGAATTATTTGATCATAATGGGATTTGGAAACTACCAATCAAAATAACACTATAAATACCACTGGAATGATAAACAGGGGCCGTGAGCGCTGAAAACCTCTGGAAGGGGACCATGAGCCGTAAAAGGTTGGGAACCACTGAATAGCAAAAAATGAGATTATGAAATCATGGTTCTCAAAAGCAGAACAAAACATTTTTAGTCAAATAGTTAATATGGGAGCGAGATTCCACCTTGGATTAAAACAGTCCCAATTACAATATATATTTCTGATCAAATAGCTCAAATGATAAGTGATTCCACTCTTTAGTAATCTAGTGTTCCCATACACAATATACTTTCAGTTGAGCAGTAGGTTAGGTCAGGATGAGAGATTCCACTCTGCAATAAATTAGTGTTCCCACATATAATATTTTCAATGAAATAGCCAAGATTGAACGACTGATTCTATCTGGCATTAAATTGGTGTTCCCACGCAAGATATTTTCAATCGAATAGCCAAGATTGAGAGACTGATTCCACCTGGCATTAAATTAGTGTTCCCGAACACAAAATATTTTTAATCCGAAAGCAACACTTACAGGTTCTGGAATGTTCTATTATGAACGCTGAGGAGGAAGAAGGGTCGTAGTTAATTCTCCAACGCAGGTACCGTCATCATTATATCCGAAGTTTGCAAACTCATCGTACAAGACTTCTTTCGCAAGATGACTCATGATCGGAGCGTCAGCCCAGGAATGTTCCGCGTTCATTCCGAATCACCCATTTTTGTAGAAAATAACTTGGAAAGATTTGTCAAACCATCTGAATAGAATTTATTCTTTATTAGCCTCTAGCAGTCACAAAAAACAAGGCCCTTTATAAATACCCACAGGCAAGTTTTTTTAGACAAAAGGCTGTCACGGTCTCGCTTAAGGAGATTCAATTTTAGGACTAAGAACTGCCAAGTTCAACATTGCATACTTAATTTATTGCAACCTGGATGAGTTGGAGCCTGTCATGACTCATGAGTTTGAAATACGGCTACGGCCTTAAACTCTGATATTAATGAAAACTTGCCAAACTAAGCCTCTACTCCAGCATAATTCACAGCCCGGGCATTTACTCGCACATAATGTCCCATAGTGTGTGTACTGGGTTAGGGTTAGAAACAGAACAGAAAAAAATTGTTATGAGATACTTTGTGGAAAAATATCATCATAGCTTTTAATCATAGCTTATCTAAACCTTAGTCGAAGAGAGAGAGTGACCTCCCCCCTCAAAAAAATAACTTAAATAAAATACAATCACCTGTTATGGCATTTTCCATGCAACAGCAGACGTACGAACTTTGAGAAAATTGTCACGACATCAACGTCTAATACATTGGATTCATCGTCCAAAACAACCACAAACGCCGCTTTCTCGATCGCGTGCAACGATCTTTGTTTACCCCAGATATAAAGAAAACAATCGAGCCTGTGAAGAATAAAATAACCATTTAGATCAGTTTTATTTTAATGAGCCTCAGTGGCTTAGTAGTTCAAGCGTTAGACTCCGCTATGTCAGTAATGTTGATCAGTGGTTTCTACCCTGGTGGACAGGTAAAATTAATTAAATGTACTCGCAGACCGGCAAAAAAATGAAAGGACCGGAACAGAGAATAATACCATATATTTGCGCTAAATAATGCAATGCTGGGCCCTCAACATGCTTCTAGAAATCTAGACAAAAAAAGATGAACTTAAAAACATTTCACATGAAGAAAAATTATGAAATAATGTGCTGGCCAAAAATTGTAATGGCTGAAACATAAAATATTTATATATTTGCATAATGAAATGCAGTGCTGGGCACCCATTATGTATAAGAAAGGCACATATAAAACATGTACATACAAAACATTTCACATAAAAAACATGTACATGCCAAATCATGTACAAACACAATTAGGTCTAGTGAGAGTTCTGTTGCTGTTTCGTTTCCAATATAGGATTGCAAACGAGGCCTCAAAGAAGTTTCTGCAACATGTAGCTCTGGAGCATTGTACAGCCGATTCTTTCGCATAACGCATAGGTAACTGGTTGAAAATATGGACAACAGTTTGATGGCACTATTACTTAGCAATGGGTATTCGTTATCAAATATATCCAAATTGTGACAGTGATTCTTTTTTAAATCTGGACTGTAAAGTAGAATCACCATTTTAATCAAGCTTTTTTCATCAGGTTTATTAAACAAAATGAATTTACATTACAATAAAAAAGTCGTCGGTAACTTGGCCCCAGGCTCAAAATATTGGAAAAGATCTCTGCGGCCCATGGATTCTTGCGCGTCTCGTGACCACCTGCAGGGTCACAACAAGGGGTCTCGTGTAGTTTCGTACCTAACGTACTTCTAGTAGGCGTAGCATAACATTTTTCTGACATGTCAACCCTACCCTCACCTGACTACCCCATCCAAAAATTACGTCACTACGACGTCACAATCACGTCATAGAGCTTGCCAAATACTCGTACGATCGCCCGAAATGGCATCGGCGCCGATGATAAAGAACTGACTAACGTCAGCGATCTCTCCCCTATCGGGATCGTTGCGACAAGAAATAGCTGTTCGATTTCGGGTTCTCGTCTGCGCGTCTTGGATGACGGTTCGCATAGTTTGAAGGGCTCTATTACGTCACTGTGACGTCGTAGTGACATAATTTTTGGATGGTGTGGTCAGGTGGGGGTTAGGATTGACACGTGAAAAAATTGTTATGCTACGCCCACTAGAAGTACGTTGGGTACGAAACTACATGAGACCCCACAACAAGTTCATATCTTACTGGAAAATTATACTGTTCTTGACTGTTTTCTAGTTTAAACAAAGAAATATGCATAACGTTTTATATTGATGGTCATATTAATCAGGGAAAGCACGCAGAACAGAAAAAGCACACATGCCGATTTTTATGAACTTGCCTTTTGAATCAAAATCTTTGATCTTACACCCATGATATCACAGCTCTTTGGAGGAATGTGGAGACAGTATTTTGCCTCAAAGAAGTACCGTAAAACCGGCTAACTTCGGATGATTTCACTATACTTCAATCAATCACTCAGTCTTTTGTTGTCCGATTCGCGTCAAACTTGAAATATATTACATTGATGTAATCCTCTGTTAAATTCATGAAACAGAACTCAATTGTGGCAATTTATCACTGGTTATATATTTTATAATTATGCAGTATTTCACGACTGCTCACAATTTTTCTATTTTGAACCATGCTGCCATTCCAAATGGAGAAATTAAAAATTGTCGATGTTGATCCAATCAAACAAAATATTGTTGCTATTTTCAAATCACGCCAACACGTCGGCGCCCGAAAGTCTGGCACCAAATCCATATCGGTGACGCAACATGACATCAAGTTCAACGTGTGCGTCAGATGCTATTATTTTGATAATAAAAAAATATTCGAATTTCTATTTTTTCTCAAGTCTTCTGCGACATTTTGCGATCAGTCTAATTTCCCATATACATTGTTATCACGCTCTATCGAAAGACGGTAGTTTGAGGAAGTTAGCATCAGTAGAAGTCACGATTTGAGCCGCTCGAATACGGAAGATCAGTTCTATCGTGAAACATGATTTTTTTTAATCAAAAAATAAAATAAATTGCGCGATTGAATATGATGACTGATTTAGATATATAAGGACTCACTATAGAAACTGCCAGAAGCACAATATGACAAACGATTGAAAGCTTTATCCGAAATTACAAGGCATCCGAAGTTAGCCAGTTTTACGGTAGGTCAGTATAAACGGTAAACAATTTCAAAAGGTTCGCAAGTTCGCATAATTATTCTGTGGAGGATAATTATGTTTGAAAAGATTGCTGGACTCCTCGCCACTGTAGGGTATTTCACATAACCGCTGGTCAGTTACCTCTACCCTCAAGTCCATGCAATCGGAATAATTGTCTAACTAATCCCATAACCGGTATCCGACATGGACTGGTAACCGGGTGAGAAGCCGTGGTTTGCCATATGGTTGAGCAGTATATCGGCTTTCCTCTCCCCTGGCATAAATATGTAAATGCCCAACCTATCCTAAGTATCTCAACAATTCTAGTACCGGTACGGGGCGTCGCAGTTCTTACCATTTCATGGCAGCTCCTGCCACAAACGTACAGTTGCGTCTCTTGCCATGGTTTTATCGCACTATTACCGGTATGTTTACAAAGTCATGTACAATATTTTAGTCTATCACGCGGAATTATGTCTACTTAAACCTAACCCCAGCTAAAAGCTTGTGGCAGCTAAAAAGTCAGTCGCCGTAGGTTAGAGTTTGGTCTTAGCGGCCATGGTTTGGAAATCCCGCCATGGTTTTGCGGCAGCTCTAGACGCCACAAAATACTTGATATTTTTGACCAGAAATGTGGTGCAATAGCCTAACCTAAGGTAAACAGAAACAAAGAACACAGATCAGAAAACGGGGACGATAACGGTATAATACCAGCAATCAAAGTTGAAAAAAAATCCGCTTTTAACCGGAAAATAAAATGTAGTCGTCATGGATACGCTGCATGTTGCCTCCACGCGGCTGAATAATCTGGAGTGGTGTTTACCAAAGCGTATATATAATATAAGCGAGAAGTTCGCACACAATTATTAAAACATACATTTTAGGTCTCATGGCGATGGCGAGCGGAGGTGCGAACAAGTTCCCGGCTGGGAATTACGCTGCAGTAACGTCTATAGGATTGAATTTTGCGAAATCAAGAAAGAGAATATTCTCAACAACATTAAATAAAAAAGAAAGACCATGTTGCATGGAAATAAAGTATGTTGCGGGATTTGGTAAACCATATGATATTGATAATCGAAAAGTAGTGAAGCATGCAATTTTACAATGCCTGAAATTGGAAGAATTGGAGGCACTTGTGGAAAGAAGGTCGAATGTATTTGAAGTAACTGCAAAATGTAGAGGAGATATTTTGAAATTAGAGTCGTATATTATGTCAGGAGGAATGAAAAACGTTCGAGGAAGACTTCTTTTGTCAAATTCTTCAAAAGTTATTCTACGTGGGGTACCCGGCATATACAGAGAACCTGATATAAAAAAGATTATTATAGCACTTACCAACATCAATCCAGAGGGTATTCTGAAAATCTGGGAGGTAAAAGATCAGGAAACTCCTTCTCTTCGTACAGGGAACTGGAATATTATGATAGAAACCAAGTATATGAATATGTTTGATCTACCAAGTTATGTAGAAATCGATGGCAGGCAAATTTTTGTCAAATATGATGGACAAAAGCAAACTTGCCGTGCGTGTGATAGCACCGAACACTTTGTTACAAATTGTCCAAAAAGAAAGAGCTTACCACAAACAGCAGTTGCTGAAGAAATGCATACACACGAAAGGAATGTTCAGTTACAAAACATTGAAGTAACAGAACACACAAAAAGCAATACCGGTACCGGTACTGAGAACATACAAACACCAACACCAAAAGAAAATATACAAGTAGAAATACAAACAGAAAACGAAGCAAAGGAATTTAGGGAACTTTGTGAAGAATACATGGATACAGAAAATTTGTTCAGATGGGAAGATGTTGCATTCAAAGAAAAAAATAATATAGACGATTCAAGCGATATGCAAATAGACATTCTTTCAAGTAAAAGAAATCGGGATGAGGAATATTCAGATAAAATAGAATCAACAATCAAAGTATCAAAGAACTCAAGTTTTTCAGATGAATGTGGAGATTGCAAATTTGTTAATAAAATACCCAAGAATAGAAAAGAATTCTCGTGTTCCAACTGTAACACAGAATATTTTGTAACGAAAAAGTGCTGCAGCAATAAATACGTCACTTATAAGAAAAAACTAATCATAGAAAATGGAAACAACATGGTATGTGGTGATTGTGAACAGAGAATAGTCCATCTGTCCTGTTGCAATTACTTGGAAAGTATGAAGTTGGTAGAAGAATATATTGAATGCGGCAGATGTGGAAAAGGTCACTCGATATGTGCATGCCAAATGCTAAATGACTCACCAGGCATAGGACAGATCTCCAAATGTCTAAATGTGAATTGTGAGTATTTTAACCTGCAATGTATGTGCGGATTCAAGCAAAATATCTTAGATGTGGAAAATCATGTATGCACAAATTGTGCTACAATATACAGATGTACTGAAGTAACAAAAAATAAATAAACTAAATGGCATTGAAAATTACCACATTCAACTGTAGGGGTTTACGAGATAGTAAGAAAAGAAGAAACGCATCTCGATTATTCAATTTGCGAAAGCTTGGAATCATTTTTCTGCAAGAAACACACTGGACAAATGATATGAAGAGAGAAATAAACACATTCAAAGGATATGAAATAATTGCAGCTAATTATACATCACAAAGTGCGGGGGTTGCAATATTAATATCAACAAGACTATCATACAAGAAAGTGTATCTATACTGTGATCCAAAAGGCCGGTATATAATTATTCAAATGGAAATTGAAGAAAAAAACATAATGCTTGTTAACTTATATGGTCCAAGCAAAGATGATACAGAGTTTTTTCTCGAATTATTGCAAAAAATAGAAGAGAGAGATATTTCTGAATTAATACTTGGGGGAGATTTTAACACAGTGATGAATAATAAACTAGATAAAAGAGGTGGACAAGCAGTACATAAAAACAAAAATGTTCAAAACCTGATTAACTGTATTGCTGAAGAAATTGGATTAATTGATATATTTAGAGAACTGAACCCTGGATTGAAAGAATATACCAGAGAACAATATAATCCAATAGTTGCTTCCAGATTAGATTTTTTCCTTATATCTGCTTCACTCCTTACATATACAATAGATAGTAAGCATGAAGCAAGTATTCAATCGGATCATCGGATGGCTAGTTTTTCAATAGATTGGAAAAAAGATAATCGTGGTCCAGGATACTGGAAATTTAACAACTGTTTATTAATGGATGAAAATTATAAAGAATTGATACACCAGATAATAGAACAAACTATAAAAGATCACGCTCATACATATGTTGAACCAACAACAATGTGGGATACAATGAAATGTATTATCAGAGGGTACACGATTCAATATGCTTCAAGAAAGAAAAGAGAAAACCATGAAAAGCGAGAAAATCTTGAAATCGACATTAAAAAGCTGGAGGATATGCCAACAAAAACTAGTGAAGAAATAAGCAGATTGAACATAAATAAAATGAAATTTGAAAGCCTTATTGCCCAAGATGCCCAGGGAGCTATGGTTCGAAGCAGAATCAAGCAAGCCGAATATGAAGGCAAATGTAATGCATATTTTTTGAAAAAAGAAAAGTACAATGTGAACAAAAATGGTATCAATTTATTACATTACAATGGAGAGCAAATCAAAGATCCACAAAAGATAGCAAATATAGCCTCTGAGTATTATAAAGATTTATTAACTCCAAAAACTATTTCAAAAACAGAAGATATAAGAGCATACTTAAGTACTGTGCAGACAACAAAACTTACAGAGGAAGAAAAACAACAAAGTGAAGGCCTATTAACTTTGAGGGAATGCGAAAACGCACTGAAAGAAATGAGAACAAATACCATCCCGGGGGAAGATGGTTATACAGTGGAATTTTACAAAGAATTCTGGGAGCATCTTAAAGAAGTGCTACTCAATTCATACAATTATTCTGTAGAAACCGGGAAAATGAGCAAATCACAATCGAGAGGAGTTATAAAGCTTCTTCCGAAACAAGGAAAAAATCTGAAATACATTGAAAACTACAGACCTATTACATTATTGAATGTGGACTATAAAATTGCATCCAAAAGCATAGCTAATAGACTGAAAAATGTAATACAAAAATTGATTCACCATGATCAAAAAGGTTTTATCAAAGGAAGGTATATTGGTGAAAATGTGAGACTATTTTTTAATATCAGAGATGTAGTGAAATATAAAGGTCTCTCTGGAACTGCACTAAACTTAGATATAGAAAAAGCTTATGATTCTGTTTCATGGGATTATCTTTTTGAAGTGTTGAAATTTTTTAATTTTGATCATATGTTTATTAAGTGGGTCAAAACATTGTATTACCAAAGTCAAAGTACGGTTATCAATATGAACTATTTGTCAAATATGTTTCAAGTTAAAAAAGGTTTGAGGCAAGGTTGTAGTCTCTCACCATATATTTTTTTATTAATAATAGAGATATTAGCATGTAAAATTCGACAAAACCATGACATAAAAGGAATTTGTCTTGGAAACACAGAAATTAAAATTTCCTTGCTTGCAGATGATGCAACAGTGTATTCTGATGGCTCAGAAAAAAGCATCAAAACAATTTTTTATGAAACCGATATTTTCTATTCCATGTCTGGATGCAAAATTAACATGAGCAAATGCCAAGCTTTGTACCTGGGGGGAAACAATCATTGCCAAAATTGTCCTATGAAAGATCGAGGACTTGAGTGGAACCCAAAAGATTTTAAATTGTTGGGTATTTTTATATATGAAAATGATGCTGACCTTTATACTGTGAATATTTTGCCAAAACTCCAGAAAATGAAAATGATTGCACAATTATGGTCAAAAAGAAATCTTGATTTCCTTGGTAAAATTACGGTAATCAAATCCCTAATGTTGAGTACACTAGTATATGTATTATCCACCTTACCAATGAGACTTCCCAATAGTTTTATAAAGGAAACTAATCAAATATGCTATGAATTTTTGTGGGGTTCAAAATGGGAGAGAATAAAACGTAACACGTTAATTGCACCTATAGGGGAAGGGGGGGTTAATATGATAGATATTGAATCATTTTTCATTGGTCTTAAATTAAGATGGGTTAAATTTTTAGTAAATGATGAATTTGATGCTTCGTGGAAATCTATAGAAATTTTTTTCCTAAATTTATATGGAGGAATGAATTTGTTCTATGGAAATGTATATCCATTTGGAATATTTATTAAAAACATTAAGTCGAGATGTTTGAGAGATACTCTATGCTATTGGCATATTTTTAAATCTAAAGTTGTTACTGATGTAAGTCACTTGCATGAACCACTGTGGTTCAATAAAAAGATATCAAGTAAAGGGAAAATGTTATATATTGAAGATTGGAATAGAAAAAGTATTTGTTTTATTGAAGATATCTGTGATTCAAAACACCAAATTGCAATGTTTCCAATCATTTTTCATCATTATTGCTTTTCTGATTTTTATAATGACATGCAATCATATTTAAAAGTTTTATCATGTATACCCCAAGCATGGAAAAACAATTTAGTGAAAACCCCTCAAGCCAATCCACATCTTAGTCTATTGGAAGATATTAGAAGCATCGATAAAACTTCCAGATACATATATGATAAGCTTCGTAATGTAAAAATCTTGATGCCTAAGGAGAAAATAGAAAAATGAACTGTGCAAGAACTTGGATAATTGGTTGACGCAGTATGAAAAAGTTTTTTATTGCACTATTGAATCGAGACTTCGATCTTTTCATGTTAAATTTGCTTTGCGAGCAGTACCTACAAATGACCTATTATTTAGGATAAATAAGACATCAAGTCCGAAATGTACATTTTGTGAAAGGAATGTTGAAACCGTGTTACATTTATTTTATTTCTGTGAATTTGTGCAACAATTTTGGGAAATAGTTAATGCATGGCTAACTGTTGAATATGGTTTAAATCTTAATCTGACATATAGAGAAATTTTAATGGGGGTAGAGCAAAACCAAGGTATAAACTGTGTTTTATTGAGTGCAAGATATTATATCTATAAATGTAAACTACGTAATGAAAGGCCTCAATTTGATCAATTTTTATATATGATAAAAAGTATATTTAACTGTGAAAAAATTATTGCAACTAGAAAATGTAAACTGTCGAACCACATTAAGAAGTGGAAAGTTATCATGAACTCATTTTCTTAAAGTGCAATTGTGTTTATGTGTTATATCGTGTGGATAAAAAGTGATGTTTTTATTAATAAAAAAAAAAAAAAAAAAAAAAAAAAAAAGAATACTGAAGAAACATGTAGAACATCAATACTGCGTTACATAAAAAGTCTACCGTAGTAAAACCCCAGTAACAACTTACCTAAAATGTGTGAAGCAAGCTGGTCATTATTGCCATTTCTTTGTCCACGAAACCAATCAATTTGCCGTTACGACAGACCAGATTTTCTCTAACTGTATCAGAGATTCATATATATGACAATGATGTAAGATTGTAAATAAAAATTAAAGTGAGCTTACCCTTCATCTCATCGAGAGCAACAAATCCAATCAATGAACCCTTGTCTTTGATGACTCTCTCCATTTCTTTCAATGCCAGTTTGTTAATCCCAGATTGTGGTGGAATGACATTTCTTCAAAAATAAAAAATAAATCAGCAATCGCGAGTCACTGACCAATGTATGATATAATAAGTAGACAGATAATAGACAAAATATTTTTTTTAAATAGACTGAAAGAAAACAACATGGCCAAATGGTTATCAAAGTTAATTTAAATTCACCATAGTACACCCCAACAATTGTCAGAAGCATTACATTTACCTATAGCGATTCAAAGTGCTTGGGGAAGGGAGAGTCAGCACCTGACTTGTTCGCAGATGATCATAGGCAGAAGGCGATCTGCAATAGAGTTCCATAGCCCAACGAATCACATCTGGATGGTACCGACGTGAAGAGGGAAAAATATTTGCTGCCAAGTATTCAAGATGGAACTTTCAGAAGCGAAAGTGGCCTGTGAAAATATTCACAAGTCAGTCATACAATTAATCTCTTGAGTCTAGTACATTAAAAATTATTTGATCGTAAAATAAAACAAAAAGTAAACATGACCTTGATCATATCATGCACAGTATCATCAACTTGCAACATGACCTGGCTTGGATGGTGTTCTTCCTCGTCATTTTTGAACTGTTCTGACATGCAGCTGCTGCACATTGGGCATCCAATTGACACATCCACTAAAAATATCCTGCAATCATATATATGCTCTCGAGACAGTCGAACAGCGATTTTTTACTAACATACCAATTGTGCTACATGATGTTGACCGATATATATTTTTGATATTAATCTTGTCACCTCCCCACGACAAAACTGGGTGAACCAATGTACTGCCATCCCGTCGATCAATACCGCAACACAACTCCAATTTGCCTAATTTGTCTTAAATGGATAACACAAATTTGAGTTACAGAATAAAACAAAGGTGAACTTGTCAAAAGAAAATGTATACCTAAAACAGAATTCAGAGTATCACATCTGTCAACTCCTAGCTTTGCAATCTCGACTTTCCAGCCAGAAAAATGAGCACTTTGCATTGCACCATCTTCTCCATACTCAACTCTTTTTTCATCATTGTGTAAAATTATTTCAGTTTGTTTTAGATTGATAAGTTGTTAGATACAATTTGGTATGTCATATGGGTATATTTGTGATTTGGTATTTGCAATTTATCTTAGCTATTTACTCTGTACAATCCTGTAGCCTCCTAGTATGAGTTTTAATATTCTGCCATCTAAAAATATTCCCTAACGACAAACTTGCGCTACAATGAAAAACTGCTGACCTTACAATTCATGCTGTCAAATTCAATTACTACTCAAATGACACAGCAACAAAATAATTGAAAACTAACATGTTATCCTATTCTCTGCAAGTTGAAAACCAAACTATAATTGATAACTTCTGTTTAAAAACAACTACCTTATACTAGGCACGCAGTAATCATCCTTTCTCATCTCTGCAATAAATTTTCCTCGGTGCTCTTACAAAGCCCACTTATCTGTATAAAAAGTTCAATCAAAATTTGCTAAACAAGCAAAAAAAATTTCTACAGATGCATACCTTTCATAGATTGCGACAAGTATGAAGTGGCACTGACCAAACTCCTAGTAGATCGATATCGAATTTTTTCCGGCAGTGGTTCACGCACAGCTGGGAGAGGTCTTGTTTTTTCCTGGTACACAGCTGAACTCCTGGGAATTTTTCTGCATGGAACTGCTCCGAGTCTTAAAAAGCTTTTTTTCCCATGCCGAAGTATATCGGTTCCCAGGAAATGGTCTTCACATATTGAGGCCCTAAATATAAAAAGGTAAAGTATATTGGTATAACAACAGTGGTTCTTAAAGTATGGGTCGCGACCCAAACATGGGTCGCGGAAGGTTTAAAAATGGGTCGCGACAAGGTCGTCAATGCAAGGGCAATCTAAGAGGAGAAGGACGAATTTTCAGCTTTCCCAATGTTTCAATTTAGCTTTTAAACTCTGGGGTATTTGCAAATAATGAAATATAAAATTTCATTCACGGAAAGAACTGTCTTGAGCTCATTGTTACATCACAATTCTGATATGCCAGTCACGTGTATTATTTTTATGGTATCGGTAACCATGCACGTCGCTTGTCGTTGTGTTGACCGCGTAGAATGTCATCTTAGTGGATTAAAATAACCAAAAATGGGTGTCTTTTTGGTAATGTAAATTGTAATAGACGACGCAATAAAAAAGCTCGCTTCTCGACATTAGATTATTCAATATCTAGAGAAAATGTGACTTCATCTCGAGGCACCATTTACCGCGAACGAAGCAGTGTGTGCACATTTGATGAGTAAAAAGTTGTATATTGCGAGAGATACCGAAGGCCAGCTAGGATGTCGTGTTTGCGACGGACAGCGGACGCCTTTTCTGCTACAATTCGCGACAAGGCACTTGTGCGAGCGAGGATATTTGGCACTGACGGTTATCAAAACTAAGCTCGCAATCGCCTCGATACCCGTGACAACTTGCGTATTGCGTTAAGTAAAATAGAGCTGTGTATTGAAGATATAATGAAAAGGAAATTTCAGTTTCATCAATCTCACTGAGTCAATGGACTGTTTCTAATAAATAGTTGTCTGTATTTGAGTCAAACTGTACTAACATTAAAAACACATTTTGCGTTATTTAGGATTGGGTCGCGAGTATTCATAAAACTCAGATTTGGGTCGCGCTCGAAAAAGTTTAAGAACCACTGTATAACAATATGAAGATGTCAAAAGCTAGCTATGGTCATTTTGTGCAAAATTTGAATTAAATGCAAAACAAATTAGATGGCTTGGTAGGCTTAGCAAATTATAACGATAAATATACGATAAGAAAAATTAACAAATATTCCGGGTTTCTGATAATCCACACAGCAGAATTTTTGAACGCAATTACTCAATTATACTATTATAGGCTGTATAAATTTGTTTATATGTTTAGTATGCCTAGATAAGTATATTACGTTTCTTTGTGCAGCATAGCCTTGATGTTATCTCCTCTGCTACTGTCTCTCATCGCCAATA